AGTATTTTCTTTTTTCTAACTTTTTCGCAATTATGTCTTCGCTTCGTTCACATTTCTTTCCGATTCTTTCATAAATACTATTCTAAAGGTAACCCTACATGTCAGTACCGATAGGTAGTATTGAATCAGTAATACTGACAGTATGCATCAATATTTTTAATATTTTTACAACCTTACACGATTAGTATTATTGACAATCTATTTTACTTTAATTTTACGTATATTATTTATTACACTGTGACATACTAGTACTATGACATGGATCCTAATAAAGCGTTACTGACGCTCGAGAATCAAAATTCAAATCACTGTTAGTATTCTACGTCAATCCATCAATATTAATAACACGCGATCAATAATATTGTCAGTATTTGTTAATACTGACAGTATTATTAGACCATGTAGGATTACCTTTATATATCCCATTAAGTACATACTTCCAAGGGACATCTTAAAGACGTCCAAAGGAACGTATGTATATCTATGTTCTCTAACGTCCTAAAGAACGTTCCCAGGATGTCTTGAATAAAATGCTATATGGGTTATAAAAACGTGTTACGCTAGACTATGTATAAAAATGACGGAGTATGGATGTATGTATATACACGCGTGTATGTCGCTTGCCGAGAAAAGAGATGCATTCGAGGACGATGATGGAACGGGTGATCGATAGCGAATTTGCACCGAGAAATAATATCCTTCCGCTACGAGGCTGTGTCGATTCTGCCGCGTCTGCGTATCCATACGTTGCAAACTGAGAATACCTTCACCGTTACGTATTTAAAATGTCGTCTTTCTAATCCCGCGTGTGAAAGATACTCCGGTAATCTCTCATCCGCAAAAAAACGTTATTCAGGTCACGACTGACGTTAATTTCGCCATTACGGGACATACCTGTGGCACGGACCGTATGTTGGCAAAATTACAATGGAATTTACAGCTCCGAACTTTCCAACGGTTATGAAAATGTCGAGATCTAAGACTGGAAGCAAGAGTGACACAGGATTATTCGAAACATCCTAAGTACGCGAAAATCTAATGTTGAAATTTTCGAGCGTATTCAGAAATTACGCGCGAGCTAGGAATTACTTTTCAAACTATTCTGTATAGAGAAGAAGTCGCTGAATGCGTACCTCATCAATATTTTATATTATTATATTGAATATAAACAACATTTAGTGATTTCCACAGCCGTTTCTGTACAGTCGTTGCAATGTTCGGATAAATAGTATTGAGTAGTGTAGTTCGTTGATCAATTTTTACGAACGAAAATGTTAAACATCAAATTATTAATATCAAATAAAAGGAAATCTTTATATGTATATTCGAAATACGGGAGATCCGGATTCGAATTTCGGCTGAGGCAATATTTTTTGCAATGAAATGTTCGCAGATTTAAGATTTTAAAATTCTCATTAACATCACGTTACTAATATTCTTACTTATATATTGACATAAAATATTATTGTTTGTCAATTCAATAAGTGATATTACTATTTCAGTTCTACTTATAATTGCATTTTAAGACTAAAAAAGATTTCGAAGTGCGGTTTATAAAATTAGATATGATGTGTATTATAAATTCACACAGAAATATTTAAGCACTAAAATCCACTTTGATTGAATATAGGAATATTCTCGTATTTACTTAACTAACTAAAATTATTAAATTGCTTGTCAATTTAATATGTGATATTACTACTCTAATTCTATTCATGATTGCGTTTCAAGGCCCAAAATGATTTCGGTTTGCAGAATCAGATATGTATATAAATTTATGCGGAAATATTAAAGCACTAATATCTACTTCAACCGATAGTTTCTTACTTAATTAGATTTATTCTCATCGGTATGTTATAATTCCAATTTAGAATTATAATTGAAAATGTTGAAATCATCAAAATTTTGCGTAAATTTTGTGCATAATTCAGAGAAGAGACATTATCATTATATGCAAGTGCGAAATGGTATACTTGGTACTATTTGTTCGGACATCGCAACAACAACTACCGCGAGGTTAGAACTATGTAGGACATGAATTGCAGACACTTCCACTTGTCACTCTGTGTAAATACATCTACCAACGTTGACTTATATTTTAAAAGATCTCGTTTATATTTGTACCATCCATATATTTTTCGAAATTCGAACTTTGACATTTCTACAATGCAGGCTATATTTGAGTCGTTCAGTATATTCGCGAACTGTTCGGCAAGAGTTTGGCACACGTATTTTCGCCTCGAGATTGAGGACTGTGCGAGAAGTTATACACGCAGGGAATCACGTGAGTTACATCGCGGGAATGTTGATTCATCCATCGGAAAGTTCCACGATGTATCGATCAGTGTCAGATCGGTTCGCCTAATTAAACGATATGTTCATCGTTTTAATAAAACAGGCACGTAAACGCGAGCGATGATGCGCCGCGGCGATACGAGTAATCATTATCGTCAATGTTGTCGAGTTCTGTTTCCCATTTCCGATATTACTCGCGGGCAAACCCGTTAATAATGTAAATTGTCGTGACCGGCTTTCTGTCGACATAAATCGCGTGTATTGACGTGAATTGGATCGCTTCATCAAAAGTCGGACGAGAGTTAATCGCTACATTTAATACTGACATACGCGAGTGTCATTAAATAAATGACAAAATTATGAATAATGAGAATAAATTTGAGAATTTACATACAGAAAATTTATCTCGAGGGTAATGCGATAAAATAAAAATGTCTCCCATTAACTTTAATGGTAATGAGACGAAATATTTATTTAAAAAAAGTATTGTAGATAGACACAATAAATAAAATCAAGGAAAATTGTATTTTTAATAATAGTGATACAAAAATTTATATGGAAAAACTCTGTTAAAACCAAATTGATATTTAAAATAGAAAAATAGAAACGTGCATGGAAACAAATAAGAATATATAATCAGAGTAAAATATTTAGAGTTTCTCGCAAATATCTGAATATTATTCTAATTATATCTTTCATTATATCATTATATATTTTCGTTTCCATATACTTTTCTATTTTACATTTCTATTTTACGGTATGTATTTTATTGATCTCATATATATACATGTTTATAAATTATGGAGAGAAATTTATGAGAGGACATCAAATATATAAAGGAGGAGCACGCAATAAAATATAAACAGACATCTTGTGCAGGAAGTGTACCGTAATTATGCAGTCGCGGCTGTAGAAACAACTCAGCGGTAGTCATTGCGCGAAATGATTAATTCCACTTGTACATCAAAGCACTTCAAAGATCTCGAAGTCTTGACACAGATTCTACAGAAGTCGGCAATGACAACGTGATTTTAAAGACAGAAAGAGAGAGAGAGAGAGAGAGAGAGAGAGAGAGAGAGAGAGAGAGAGAGAGAGAAAGGGAGGAGGAAAAGGAATACTTTTAATTAACTTATGCTGCTGCATTTTGTCAGCTTATACCGAGTGTTCCTGTTATTTCGCATTTTTAGAGCATTTCCCTACGGCAAAAAGAAAGAGGAAATAATCCATCTCTCGCGAGTTGCGAAACTTTTCGTATCTTTCGTGCGCCGAACTCGCGGCCGACGAGAAACTTAAGACATGTTTTACTTGCGACCTCGCGTAAATAACTAGCCGAAAGCAAGAGAGCGGTTTTTTTGTGCGGGAAACATAATTGCAGAATTTCTCGGAAGGACAACTTAAAATAGATAAATTATGATAGTGAATAACCAGAGATAAAATAAAATTTTGCTTTTAGTAATATTTAATTTTTTCCAGAATATATTTACAAATATATGAGCAATTTATAATATATTTTTGTAATATAATAAATTGTATAATATAGTATTTTTTGTAATACGTTCTTGTTAGAGAAAAGGGTATGAAATATACACGATTTTGTTTCAGTTAAACCTGGGTTGAAAATAAAATTATTTGAAATTAGTGAATTAAGTAGTACATATTTTTGAATGGATATAATGGTTAATCTTTAGAGGGAGGTTATTAAAGTCTTGCAAAGAAAGAAAGAGAGAGAGAGAGAGAGAGAGAGAGAGAGAGAGAACTTTTCTTTAAGTAAAGTTTCTTATGATTCCTAATTATTTCATTCCTTGCTTTAAATGTGATACTGTTTCATCACCACTATAGTGGCTGTTCCGTCCTATGTAAAGGTTAAATCAGGATAATTACAACAGTATATATAATACTTAAACAAAGAGAAATTTTATAAAGAAAATGTATGTTAGAGAGATTAACAAATCCTTCAACGCGTAAACTCTGTACACATTCCTTTACTTTTATTTTAAATTACTACATACGGAATTAAATTTTATTAAAAGATTATTTTATCCTAATTAACACATATGGGAATAAATATGTTTCCTAAATATTTAATGAGATATTCCTAAGTATCTCATGTTTTATGATCTTATAAAAAGCATATATAAGACCAACATGACTACTTACGAGTTATTATGTATATGTAACATATACGTTGTTAAATCTAACAGTGTTAAATTTAACGTAACGTGAATCGCTACTAAATATATCATTATTTTTTACCAAAACGATAATTAAATTTGACACTGTAGATTTAACAGGGTAAATTAAAATATACATATACAAGTTTCTATGCTGTCGTAATATAAATTCAAACAGACAAATTGAATCAATATTAATCGGTTTGATTAATAAAATTAAAATATTCGATATATTCCGATCAGTGAGCAAATATAATGTTGATGCAGTTTTAAAATATTACGAGCGTGACGCATTTCTGTCGTTTTTACTCGGTGATCGCGTGTTCCCAGATAATCAGTAAATAGGCAAATACTTGAGTTGTGTGAGCACAATCGATCGGGCGAAGTTTATTTAGCGTTTATCGAAGCCGGACTGATCGTCTTAGTGAGCGCTGCGTAAACATTTATCATTTACGTGACCGTGCTTGTCCTCCGCATCGCTGGATCAATCGATCGATCTCTCATATGGGAATATTCCCTTCGTTTTCGTTGCAGCTTAAGAACCAAGCAGCCTAGCGGCCTGGACACTGGCGGGGTCCGGCTGGAGCTGAGTAAGGCCCTCGATCTCTGGGCCAGAAATTCGAAGCTCACTTTCCAGGAGATCAACAGTGACCACGCCGACATCCTGGTCTACTTCCACCGGTAAGTTTAATTTAAATTAACTTTAATTGAAACTTCGCTTAATTTAACATCCTATTTATCCTGCGTATGTACGTATTTTGATATTTTAAGTGATTAACTCCGCGATTGAAATTGTTTCAATGCTAAAAATGTTCACGTTACGCAAGAATGACATTTCATAATGAATACTTTGTTATTGAGTAGAATTTTAGGATTAATTAACTCACTATTATAATAATATAAATGAACAATAATTATTAAAGCATTAGAATGCCTGGCATTTTAATAATAGATCTGGACACGGAGATAATCCACGAAACGCATAGCTTTTGCAATACACAAAGTAAATGAAATATAAATAAACTGCTTATATGAGCTTTTGTAATTGCTGGTGCGTAAATAATATATTTATAATGCTTTAAGATATAATTCGCAAACAATTGGAATATACTCACAAACTGCAAACGTTTCGACTCTGCATTTGACAATGAGTCCTCTTTAGTATGGAAGTCAAGTACAAACTAGAACTCGTAGTTTATACTTGACTTCCGCAACTGAAGGGGACTCAAATTCAGAATCGAAATGTTTACAGCTAACTTTGTTGATGATATGTCAATTGTTTGCGAATTAATGCTTTATAAATACAATATATCATTTACTTACATTTGGTTTATTTTTGAAATCACAAAACTATTTTTATTTTAGGCTATTATATATCATAATTATAATAATTTAAATCAATCAGTTTTAGTATTTGACAGAGTGATAGAAACTAGGTTTAAGCATTCAGATTCTAGACAGAACTTTTAGAAATTCTAGCAGTGGCATATTCGAAACTACTTGCATTGTATGTGTAGTAAAATAATAACGCGACTCAATGCCATATAATTGTGTAAAATCGCAAACTCGCGATAGATATTAATCCTGTTGTACCGTTCGGGTCTATTTGACTCGAAATAATTTTTATTTCCCCGCTATATTTTTATGAGTAAGCGTTTTCACATTTCACTTTGTTTTATTCAACTTCGTTTCATATCTCAAAAATATTAATCTGACTATAAAGTTTTAACAATTTTTTTCATTTTCATTTCATCAAAATTTTTTAATGTATAAAATAACAAAGTCAGCTTATATTGATTATACAATACAATTCGAACAAAACAGTAAGATTAAATTCGATGATAACTGATAATTTTGTTGGCAGAATGCCAGATAATATTCGCGTTGCGCATTGTTCAGGGGTTATCATGGAGATGGATATCCATTCGATGGCAGAGGTCAGATCCTGGCTCATGCATTCTTCCCTGGCAAGGATCGCGGTGGAGACGCTCATTTCGACGAAGAGGAGATATGGTTGCTGGAGGACGAGAGCAACGAGGAAGGTAAGCAAATCAGAATTTCTCCGGTGGTCGTGTCTCAAATTATTCAAATCCCTCGCGCGAGCGATTGGAATATATGAACTCAGATGAAATAGCAAATATTTGAACGATGAGGCAAAAAAGAACGGACAAAAACTGGTTACTCCTAATAAATACTGTTTATTCCAATTTGTCGTGGTGAATGAACTATTTATTCGAGTTTTTTTCGGCGAGTCTGCTCGAATTATTCGAAGGATTGAAATACTTCAAGTGTGTCACTTATGTGAGTTGATTAATCATATCATTTTTACAAATATTTGCATTCTCTCTCTCTCTCTCTCTCTCTCTCTCTCTCTCTGTCTCTTGAAATCCCAATATTTTGCACGTCGAACTTCTCTCCCATTATTTCAAGGCATAGACTTTCGTGATAATAATTATCCAAGCCATCGTGTTTTGGTAGCGCGCCAACTCGGTCATCTGATACAAGACGCGGTCATGCCTGTGGAAAAGAGGGATAACTCCAGAAAACGATCCTTTCAATTCTATCGAGACAAGGCGTTATGTCGTTGGATCAATATAAAACGCCGGACGGCGTTTTATATAAAGGTATTCATGAACAGCGTACGTGAGCGTCTGAAGAATTGTTTGTGAGCTCCTTCTATCGATTTTATCGATGTATTTTCTACCTCTTTTAATGCAATAAGAATTGTTTTGTCTTGAATTTCTCAAACAATGGCACACATACGATACATGCCATTTGCTAATATTAATTATTACAGCGCAGCTTTATATTCGACAAATTCAATTCCAGCATATATTTCCTCTCTTTTAACGTAACTAAAATTAAAATTTCGAATTTTTCAATTACATTATATTACCAAATATATGTTTGAAAATTAAATGGATGATTGCTTAATTATTTTCACGGGTCTTTTTATATAATTAAAGTTTCTCTTTATACAAAATTAATTAAAATGCTTTTAATTAACACAGATAGCCAAATAATTTAATATAAATGATAAATGACGTATAAAATAATAGTTTAAATATATTAAAGTGGTTCAGGTTTTAATATTTTTAAAAAATTTGCGTGTATAATGTGTATGTATATTTGTACAATTGATATACAAATATCCTTATAATTATACATTATTATGGTACAAGATTTTTCGAGTACTGATACTTAATATATCACGCTTTTCTTTTCTTCATCAGATCGAACACTTCGATTCATTATTTTCTTTAGCTGCGTTTCGATGTATCAATTGAAACAATTATCGACAATAGGGGTCTGTCTTCTTTAGTTGACTTCTTGCTGCACTGTTCGTCTTTTCTCTTTTTCTCTTAACGTTGAACGATGCAAGAAGTTCAACTAAAAAAACAAGCCTAATTCTTAATGAAAATTAACAAGAAAGTGCAAACCCAGACAGAGATAGACAACCTGTTGGAATGATTAACGATATTTCCTTAACAGGTCGGCAACCGCGTATGCGTTTAATTAGCGCACAATTGAGACGACGTGACGATGCTGTAGGTGAAAGCCAGAAGAAGATAGACAGGGTTGGAAGAGAGAGAGAGAGAGAGAGAGAGAGAGAGAGGGAGCCGATTTCTCGACGCAAGTTGCGAGGATCCACTATGTCCCTCGTGCTTCCATCAAGATTGCTTAATTGCGTAATTCGCAGCGTGAATCACTCCATGATTACAACCTCGTAATTGCAACAGTTAGCTAAGCGACGTGCCATAGCGCAATAGTTAAAGCTGTCGACTGTCTCCCCGTTTACGCGTTACAATATTGCGCATTTGATTCCACATCCTCTATAATATATCCTGCTGATATTTGTAATTACCTACTCACTTACATTACAATATGGTGTTTTTATCTTTTAATAGGTATTATAATATATTGTATTTAATAAAATGCGAGATATATTTATTAATGTATGTTATGCATGTAATACACAACTGTAATTATTGATATTATTAGAAGTTACATTTTGTTTACAAATTATATTTCATCGTGACACAAATTTTGTATTTGTTTATATATTATAGATATATACTATAAATATTACAAAAATTATATTAAAAGGATTATTATCTTTTATAGATATCTTTCATAAAATATTAATTAATTTCGATATGGCAATTTTCTTTTATAGAAAGACAATTATACATACCAGATTAATACATATTAATTAATTAACACAGGGCTTTAAAGAGCTTGATTTATTGTTCCGTGTTAAAATGGGAACTTTTGTTTCCAGCAACCATTTAATTATTTCTCATTTCCGCTGAGTAAGTTTTATTCCGTTGATTTATTACCGGGAGGAGTAGTTAGTACAGAATAATTAGAGACGATTTGTATATGGCGGTTGACAATTTATCGCAGCGGGAAAGATGGCGTGAAGTATTTCGGTCGATAAGCTTATCCCCGTGCAAATCGAGCGCTGCAACAAAAGTTCGTCATCTCATTTCTGCCGTCATGGACACTTCTATCGTCGTCGTTGCAACGTTCCTGCATAATACGTTTCCGCACTTTCTTCGCGCACCATACTCTCTACCCGGGGATTTCAAGCAACGGAGAATGAACATCGTGGAATACAATTCGAAGTAGCAACTTTTTCCCTCAACAAGAACTAATTTGCTCGAGCAAATCCGCTTTAGCAAAAATAAAACTGCTGCAACGCGAGAAGTTGGTTGCAACGAAGAATGAGAAGTCTTAAGAGCCTTCTCGACTTTTGTAATTTACAAAAGAGTGATTCATAATAATATGTAGCTCTTAAGTTGATAATTTTACATTTCAAACTTATTGCTTAAATATAATAATATTGAATTTTTTTCTAAAAAATGGTCAACGGATATTATATATTTGTATAATCAGAGTTTTAATTTTTAATTAATTTCAAGCGAATGAAATTTTACGGAATCGCAGGCGAAATTTTAACTACGAAGAGATTGGCAGTAGAAAAAGCAGGAAACACTCCGGAAATGGAGATAGCACAGTTTGAATAAAGATATGACTGCGAACGCGTATTTCCTCGACATTATAAAGAAGAACCGAAAAACGTTTTTAATTGAAAAGTTCAAAGCTTTATCTAAACGCAAATTTTTTTCTCCTCGTTAACGGAGATTCTCTTGGTCGAACACTTGAAACTCTCGCGTTAACTTGCGCGTTAAGCGCTTAACGCGGTTAAAGTTCATTTTACGTGCTCTCGGCTACGAGTCGGGGAATTTTCTCTCAGCAAAACTTTAATCGAAACTCTTAATAACAACATCGTTGGCCTTATCGCCGGCGGTGATAACGGTCCACCCCTCCTGTAATCCTCTCTGCGTCTTGCAAGTGCGGCTCTTAACACTTCGCAAAGCCGCGACTAATTTTCTCTCATCCCGTAAGGGGGAGAGGTTGATTTAATTACCATCACGTCTCAGCTATTAATTAACCGTATTAATTAATCGGACTATTGTTCCACTATCAAAAGAGCGAGCTTTGGCACGATTACGTGGTAAATTATTATTTGGATCTGATTCTTCAACGCTCGAATCTTGATTGGCGTCGTTAATACTGCGCCGACTTAGTCTCTGGCACAGCCGGCCGCATTCATAGTGCACATTAGCATAATTATACTCGTACGTTACTGTGACACCGCCACAGGAATTCTCTTTCTCTCACTCTCTCTCTCTCTCTCTCTCTCTCTCTCTCTCTCTCTCTCTCTCTCTCTCTCTCTCTCTCTCTTTGCCATTATCAACTACTGCATGCGCGCTCAAAGTTAATTTCGGCGAGACGAATTAGCAACGAGGTGTTATAACATTGTTTCAATATAATTATTTTGTTCGAACGTTGAAAATGTACAAAAATATTTAATGTAAGAAAAAAATACATTTTTTCAATTTCTTTTTCTTCAATTTCCGTATAATATAAATAGTAAATGTTTTATACAAGCGAAAACAGTCAAAAATAATATTTTATATATTATATGTTATTATATATATTTAAATTCTACAATCAGTTTAATTTTGCTTACAAAGATGCTTTAAAAGTTGAATATTAAAGAATTATTACTGCAGTTGTGAAAAATGAAAAGAATCAAATTTTAATCAAAGAGATAAGTAATGTAATTTGAAAGCACGAAAAAAAGGCTCCAAAGGAAATGATAGTAGTTCTGGCACGTATACTAGATCTTGCTAAACGGCGAGTTTGATTTCGATAAGAGCGTTACTGAGAGTTGATTTTTTCGTTGGCTGAGCCAAGAGAAACCTTTTGCGGTATCGATGTACCGTGGTTAAAGGAATTACAGCAGCGTCGGCTGCGTAGAGCGGATATTTCGGAGAAAAGTTTCGCTAAAAGGAATTAAGCTCTCCCGCAATGTCATTTTTGCTTGCATTCTCTTCGCTTCTCTCTCTCTCTCTCTCTCTCTTTCTCTCTCTCTCTCTCTCTTGCTCGTTCTTTTTGTGTCCCCAGAAAGTTTAGAATTCGTGAGATTCACGAAAAATTTTATAAAATCCACGCACGTTTGTTACATTGTAATTATTAGAACTAAAATTGAAGAAGAATTATAATACTCATGAGAAAGAGACGTATTATAAAATCAAATCGAGATTGAAATGATTAATGTAATACGTTCAATCCGATTATTGTTGGTGATCTCCATAGAGCAAACTTTCTTCAGAGGAACGTTTTATTACAGCAACGTGATTCGCAAACCATTCGCATCTCAGTTTCTCGCAGTTTGCGAAGACAGTGCGACTGAATTCACTCGTGCAAACGTGACGTCAGTGACGTGACATTAGTAATTCATAACTGACAACTGCGGTTGTGGATGTCACTCGCAAATCGGTTACATTTGTTCTCCGTTCAGGACATATATCCGCATCTTCTCTCTCTCTCTCTCTCTCTCTCTCTCTCTCTCTCTCCCTCCTTCCTTCGAACGAGGTTAATTTACAGCGACGGCCGCTTCGCCATTAATTGCGTTTGCCTAACGAGAATTATTAACTGTTGGCGTTGTAGGGTGATATCACTTGCGACGATCATTTAGATTAATGGTTTATGAGTATTCGCTGACCGATCAGAGTCGAGAATAATCAGACAAACCAAAAATAAGTAAATCATCCATCTTAGATATTAAAGTGTGACGATCTTTTTTATATAAACATTTTATTTCGTTAAAGAGATTAATTTCGTGAGAGGGAATAAAAATATCTTTCTCTTTTTACGTATAAAAAATAGGCAAGGATGCTGTTTCTTTTGTAATGCTTTTATTCGCAGTCCCTTATTAATTAACTTTTACAATATTACATTGTATAAAATGCGTCAAATAATTTTTCGCACATTAAAATTTTACGCAATACAAAAGTCGCGTTGTCCCGTCTTTTAGCCGTCTTTCTGCTCATTTAACTCGCAAGAGACAGCATGAAGGAGAGAGGTCTTGAAGAGAAGGCAATATCTCTCTCCGGAATATAACGTAAGTTTCCTCCTTGCGCGTTGTAGTATAATGTGTACTCGTCATCCTAGTAATATTTTTGGTACTTAGAAAGCTCTTGACGGGATCCCGGGATAATGTGCGTAAGTCAGATCGATAAACGATAAACGGTGCTGCTTTTGTAGGGAGCAATTGTAGTCTGGTTTTATCGCTTTGTGTTTCAAAAGCTTGCACGATAAAAACAGAAAATCGCGAATAGAGTAATTCGCAAACACCTTTATTTATGTTATGTACGTTTTATACTTATCGCTTTATGTCGCCTACAAGGTTTTATGTCCAGACTACACTTAAACGAATGATGATATTTCAGATGCGCGATAGCTTTGAACTGGATCTGCAACAATTGCATTAAATATTTTATAGAAAAATTTTAAAGCTATTATAAATTTTGATTACTTACTCTTATGAGTAAGAGGAGTTGTTGCGTAGCAACAAAGTATAGATTTACTTAGATAAATACGAATTCTAATAAATCTTAAATCTTAATCTTTTTTGTTGAATATTTTAAATATATATAGTATATAATTTTTTATTGCATATATGTATATATAAATTATATGTATTTTTATATAAATATATTGTATAATCTTTTAGAGATTTTTCCTTTTGCAAGGAGACGAATTCATAAGCAGTCACGTAGTTTTTATAATGGTCGAATTTTTCAAAAATTAATGGCTGGGAATTGTTCGCCAAGTTTCAGTAACAAGATACCGTGGATTTTTCTCGGCAATGCAAGCAACGATTCGCTATACTATCAATTTTTCCGTGACAGCAACTCCCCTCGAATCGGCGATCGCTTTACGATCCTAACCCATATCTGGAAAAGTAGTTCCTCGATGCGGGTTGGAATCGAATCAGAGCGAAACGAAACGAAACGAAATGAAGGCGGAGATTCCGCGGTGGTGGTGACGGCGGCGGTGGCAATTCCCGATGCAATTGTCCGGAAAACTCGACACGTGAACACGAAAAAGTTTCGATACGCTTTTCTCTACTGCCATGACTTGGTGTCTTTGGAGATAGTAAAGAAAATAAGGATAAAGGTATCAAAGATAAAACTACTTTGAACACTTTTTATCAAAAGACATGATGTAGAAATTGATTTGGAAATAATGCAGAAAAATGCATCTCAGTTGCATTAAATTTCAGACGAATGTTTGCTATTTGAATAACTTTATAAAAAATTATGTCCTTAAATATATTATTTTGTCCTTTGAAAAACGTTATATTGATATATTATATGTTGATGTTACAGTTGTTTCGTAATGATTTCGTTTTTGCCTCCACGAAATATTTGCCAAAGTTCATTGTGTTATGATTCTTGCAAATCTGTATACGACGCTTGTCTTTCATACCAGCAAATATTGTAGTTGACGCAAGGCGCATCAAACAGATAAAAGGTACTAGATATGTAGGTATTCTCATCCGCCATCTTGGTTCCTCTTGATTGATAGATTATAGTACGATTAGTGACAAAGGTAAATGTTAAGAAGAGCTCAAATTTTAATAAAAATACACTAAATCGATGCGTTTTCGCGTAAAAATACACAACAGTGGTTCACTATGCTTTAAAAAACATACATTCTTTACTAAAATAGTGAATTTGTATTTTAAAAACAGTGAATTTGTGTTTTTAACGCAGTGAACCACTACTGTGACAGATTTCTTAATCCGAATAGTCAATTTTAAGGATTAATATCTCGATTTGCGGAGCAGAGTTATTATTTTAGAGTTTATTATTCAGAGTTTATTATTTTATCAAAATTTGAGATGGACGAGCTCTTCTTAATTTATCTTTGTCATTAATCGTACTATAATAATCAAGTAGAATCAAAATGGCGGATATCTAAATGAGGAATATCTATATGTATCTATCTAGTTCCTTAAAATCTGTCGGTCTTGAATGTTTTTGCATTTCTTTCAGGCACTAGTCTGTTCGCGGTGGCTGCTCATGAATTCGGCCATTCCCTGGGATTGGCGCACAGCTCGGTCCAAGGTGCTCTCATGTATCCCTGGTACCAGGGACTGAGCCCCAACTACGAGTTGCCGGAGGACGATCGCCATGGGATTCAGCAGATGTACGGTAAGATACTCTCTTTCGCTACGTTAATACTTGTGCGATCGTTAAACATGCAGTATTTAAATTAAAGTTGTTTCCCCGTAAATTGTTGGAGCTTTACGTGAAGCTGTACAAAAATATTAATATTAAATATAAATGAAATTTTTATTCAACTGGATATTAAATTTGAATCGCGCAAATTATGGATCCGAGAACGAGAGAAAATCGCTGGGATGTGATAAAAATAATTTTAGTCTCAAAAAAATATTGTCATAAATTTGAAATCAAACGAGAGAGAAAATACATTACAATATATATTGCGTAATATTTATATCGTCGTTAATTGTGAGTTTAGGAAAATGAAAACAGAGACCAGAGTTATTAAAAATAACAGTATGATTATAACGAATTATAATGAATTACAATGCTGAGATTGGAAAACATCGTTGAGCTCTGATAAAAATGCAAATATTGATGCCGTATTAATTTTACTAGTCATAAAATACTATTTAGTCTTTGTCGACTAAAGCAAATAACGGAAACTGGAGTAGGAGTTATCCTGTAGATTGCGCGCTGCGCGATTAGCATTCCGCGACTTTGTGGCTCCGTTCTTCGAATTTTCTTCGTATTCACGCGGTGTGAATCTAGTGAGTGGGATGTGCGAGCAGTTTATCTCGATCGTAAAACTTTCGGTGAACGGCGATGTGGTAGAGGTGAGATTTATAGCGCGCGTTATCGGCGTAAAATCGTAACAGGGGTAAGCATTGCTCGTGTGCAGTGTTTCAATTTCGAACACGCTGTTGAAGCAACCGCAGGCATTAAGGCGATGGTGCTGTTGCAGTCGGCTCGACTTGTAATGTGCGACATAACGCTCAGCGTGTCGGCCGGCAATCGAGTTTATTAAAAAAGTTGTTTGCTCTTTATAGCGCGGCGAGCCTGACGAGGAGAAGGACACGTAGGATAATTTTGGCAAAAGTAATGGGCGATATAAATTTCCGGGTCAATAATAATAAGTTTCGCCAATTGCTATTTCGCCAAAATATTTTATATTTTTATCTCAAGTCCCAATTGAATAAATTTTAGACTAAACCTATATATATATATATTTTATAAACTGTATTCATGTTTTGAAAAATTAAATAATTATTAATATAGTTAAATATATAAATTAAATAATATAGTATAAATTAATTAATATAGTTAAATATAGTTAAATATAGTTAAATCAAATATCCTTTATTATCATATAATATCGACAAAAAGAAATACTCGTAATGTGGATTGAAAGAAAAGATTGGCTGAATATGGCATAGCATTTTTAATTGATTGCAGCAGTCAATTTTTGGTTGTGATAGCCTATCAAAATCCTATACTGACATTGCGAATTAAAGGCTAACGCAAAAATTGGCTACTGTAAACTAAAATTAACTGTTGCAGCTAATTAAAAATACTATACCGTATTTTACCATTTAATTGTTGCAGCAGCCAATCTTTTTTTCAGAGTGTTATTTTTGTCATTTTCCTTTCACAACCTTTAAAAAAATCATTTTTTTTAAATTATGACGATTTTATTATGAAGTTAGGTTAGTTCACTTTTGATAGATAAAATAATATTTACCTAATTCATGGTAATAAATCAAATATCACGTTTCGCACGAGTTATATTACTTTTGAAGTAATTGAGTGATATGTATTATTCCAAATATATATTTGTAGTAATATAAAACAAATCAGTTTCGAAGCGAATGCACATGTAGTTTATAGAAATTTTACTTAGACTAAAATTATCGCAGAATATATTCAATATTGGGTTATCGTGTTACACCTCCTATTGTCGGAATCACCCGTGTAATTTCGCTGCGCATGTAATGGATCACAACTTGAGCATGTCGAAATTGCTTTAATCGCTCAGTCATGAGAAACAGCTTAGTTATATTCACCCGACCAAACTGGGGAAATCTGTAGTCCATTGTACAGGGTGTCGAAAAGATATCAGAGAAATTCTGGTCTATCTAAATATGTGTTCGAATATTGTAAATAGAAATGCCCCTTTAAAAATTATTTTTTTTTATTAAGAGAGATTATGTTTATCAAGGAGAAATTTGAAACTGAACTTGTGAGAAATATGATACACTTCAAACTTGACAAAAGCGATGGGTAGATAAAGTTGAGACACCCTGGCTCTTTAATCGAGATTATGGACGCCTGTGCAACATCGGAAATTTGAATTTCTGGCAAGGATCTATATCTCGCAGTAGTCTCGCAGTAGATAGGGCACTTTATAGTCCGACGACGGGGGTAAAGTTAGCCTTTCAGTAGCAAACTCGTTTGATAGTCAGCCACTGCATAGCGAAACACAGTTGCACTAGTCAAATATTTCGACGTGAATAAACCTGGCATTTAATGCGCACTTGTGAGACGTAAAAATGTTGAAAGAGGAACACTCAGAAGCACGTAAAGTAAACGTGCGAAAAGGACCGTTGTTCGGGTATTCTCTTTACGTTACAGAATAAATAATAACCGACGAAGTCTCTTTGTTTGCGTCTTTTTATTTCTTAGATTTTATTCCAAATGCCATCAGTCTTATTTTATATATTTTTGAATATTAATTAATATTAGAATATATTAGGAATGAATAACGGAATTGTGAATATCTATATATAAAGAGAAAACCTAAATAATAGATGATTATTTATCAATTGTAGAAGTCTTTATTTAAAGAAAATATTCCAGTTATTTACTTTTA